TCCCCCCCAGGGGCAGCCAGGAGGGGAGGCACGACCACAGCAGCCTCAGCCCTCCTGAGCTGAGAGGACACCAGGGGCACCAGGCTCGTCCTGATCTCTTCCCTTAAGATACCACAGGGCCAGGTGGGAGAGGCTTAGAGTCTTGGCCTGCCTCTCAAGGAAGTTTGTCTCCTTCCAAATCTTTAGTAATGGTGGCAGAACACACATCCTACAGTTAACCCCTCTAAAAGCCCATTTCTCTGTTAATCCTATTTCAGGAACGTACCAAAAGAAAACTCAGGTGGGGTCTAATTCCACTCTCAGTGAACATTAATTGGCACTACAGTCAAGACCCACAATTCTCCCCACTCCTTTTCTAAGCATAATTTAAGAATGGCTAAGTAAATGAACCACTGTGGCAGCAAAGAGGAAAACAAAACAAAACACAAAACAAACAAAACCCAACAGTAGAGCAAAGCCAACAAATTGAAGAAAACACATTTGGGAAACTTTGAATTGCCATGGTAACCAGACAAGCTATAAATTCTCTGGCACCACATCTGGATTTTTTAAGCAAATTGATGTCATTACAAGTGTGTGAGTAAGGCTCATGGAATAGGTCTGGTAATAGTGTCTGCTATTGCAGCTGCCCATTATCAAACCCCAGCAGCTCCTTACTGAATACTGGAGTTGAAATGTGCCTGTTAAACACAGCCCCCTCAGGGCTGTTAAATACCTCTTGCCTTTCCCCCACTCTCAGAAGTGTTTCTAGTGCCCTAACCAGAATTTTCCAGAAGAGGAGGGCAGGCACCTGACATTTAAATTGTCAGCCTGGGTGATTCAGCTGCTTCCCAAATCAGGGCAGGGAAAATATGTTGCTAAAAAGGTCCTGGCATCCTTGGTCTTGAAATAGCCATTATGAGACTAAAACTAAAGCTTCCAGGACCAGACACCTGGTATTCCAGAAGAATGAGGTGAGTGAGGGGAACAAGACTGGGACAAGCAGAAAAGCACCATGCTCTTGAAGGACTTTGGGGAGTCAGCACCCACAGGAAAACCCTCCCCTGTCATTGGGAATAGATTAACAACATGCCAGCCCAAGGCAGGTCTGGCTCCTGCCTTTAGCACCTGCCAGTGAGTTAAGTGGCAGTGTGTTAGTGGTGGAACCAGTTCAAGGTGTGGTGAACTACAATAGATGGAAACTTGCAGCTTCAAGGAAAACACGTCTCAGTAGAGCACAGGATAGTAGCAGTTCCCCACCTCCCCTGTTTGCCATCTTGAAATCTAGGAATATGCAATGAGGCTTCCACATCCCTTTCATCCAGCTTTAAAAAAAAAGTATCAGCAACTCCCACATTAGGAAACACTGAGATCAAAGCACTTCCCTGTGCCACCCCCGAGCCTGGAACAGCCACGCGCTTGTTCCTCACAGGCTGCAGGGTGGAGGAAGGAAGGATGCAGAAACAGCTGCTTCAAACAACATCTCACAACAGACTATTAACAAATCCTCATTGTTGTGCTCTATTATTATTTTTTAATTATTATTATCCATATTTTGTTCTACAACTCCCTGAGAGGAGGCTGGAGTGAGGTGTGTGTTGGTGTCTTCTCCCAAGTAACTAACAATAGGATGAGAGGAAATGGACTTATGTTGTGCCAGGAAATGGGCTTCAGTTGTGCCAGGGGAGGCTTACATGGCATATTGGGAAGAATTTCTTTCCTTAAAGAGTGGGGAGGCATTGGAACATGCCACCCAGGGAAGTGGTGGAGTCACCATCCTTGAAGGGATTCAAAAACCATATGGCTGCTGTACTCTGGGACATGGTTTAGTGGTCATGGTAGTGTTGGGTTGACAGCTGGACTTGGTGACCTTAGAGGTCTTTTCCAACCTTAATGATTCTATGATTAGCCCTTTCCATAGCAGTCAGAGGTGGAAAGCAGCAGCAGCCTGTACTTTTAAGATGTCCCGTGTCCATTTTTTCCAGGTTGTACAGCATTATATTGCTCTCAGTCAGAACATTCCCCTCCCACCTGCCTGCAGGGGAAACAGGGCCAGTTGGGGACTAAACCCCAAGGATGACATTAGAAACAACACGGAGGGAGCCTTCAGGGACTGCCCAGTTTACTCAGTGAAATGAGACCTGAAGGGATAGACTATTTGTCCTGCTTCCCTTTGCAAGCCTTTGCCCTGTTCAGCACCTACCAGCACGGGTATTGTCTACAGCTGTGCCCCCACCAGCTGCTTTGTGTGAGCCAGGAGCAAGGTGTCATGCTCAGGGAGCACCTTCCACCTCAACCAAGGAAGGAGCAGTGCTATAAGTTTCATTTGAATTCAAGTTTTTCAATTAATTACTGTATGTGCTGTGTGCCTTTTGGAGGCACGTCTCTTAGGAGGTCAACAGGAAACAACATCCAGCATTTTGTCCCTACCCAAACCCAAAAAGGCAGTAAGGTGATAGGGTAGAAACCACAACTTCATTTTACATGGTCTTTGTTCTACTAGGAAGAAAAGAGGATGGAAAGTCATCTGACTCTGCAAAACCAGCAACCACACACACAGTCTGCTCGTACACATCCTGGGGAACGGGAAGTGAAAAAGAAGCAGAAATCTCCCCCTGTCCTGACCTTCTAGATTTTTCTATTTATTCTAAACTTTTTGAGAGGAAATAGTGTCAGAAGTTGTTAGGAAAATGCAAGCACATTAGGACAATCCTTTGAAAGCACGAAGCTGAGGGAGGCTGATACTTCTCTCACAGTGCTGACAATAAAATCAGCACAGAAGACAAAGCTGTGTGAACATTTCTGACCTAAACATCAAGCTGTAGCTTATCCCAGTATTGCAGAACCAGGAGCCAAGGCCTGTGACTCAGCATCCTAACTATTCAAGATAAATTTAGATAAACTCCAGGGCAGACTGTGCAGGATTTTTTAATAGGCATAAGCATGCTACAAATCCAATTTCCAGAGTGCAAAATTGTATTTCCTTTGTTTCGCACAGATGTCAGAACACGAGATCTACCACAACACCAGGACTTTCAACTTAAACATTTCCAAAAGAGAAAGCCAAGTAAGCATTTAATATTTAGGCTGGAACTGAGCTTCTCTGCTTTATGTGGTTGTCTCCAACACCCATACGAGCTTAATGACAAACCTTAAGGCTTTTTATCAGTAAGAAACTACCAGAATTCCTTCTGTTACAACATGGTGTTCAGACAGCTGACTGAAAGCATGTTCAGGGTTTGCCTTGGTGAAAGACTTCAGTTTCAGTGGACCTTCAAGTAGGTCCTGAATGGAATTTTCAGCATAATTTTTCAGTTCTGCTATTCTGACTTGCAAAAGTCCCAAAACAGAAGGAGCAATACTAAAGAACCATTAAGAAAAAAACCACATTAATAGGCAAATTGGGAAAAAAAGCTGCAGAGCACTTGCAGGTGAATGAAGGCAATTGCAAGATTTTTCTCAGAATTTTTAAAATAAAAAAAAAAGCACACTCTTGTGTTTAAACTGCACTGTTTAGAGTAGACCTTTACACCCCTGAAAATAGGGGATTATTCTGAAGCACTTTCATCTCCTGACTGTAATCACTACCCATTTCAGACACAAATGCCACGTTCCTGATCCACATTCTAAAACTGATTTCCTTAACGGATGACAGGTAGCAGGACAACCCTTCTTCACACCAGTATTGCCTGCACATAGTTACTGATGAGCTCCACCATTTTCAGAATAACAAGCATCCAATTATTTAACGATATAAATATTGAGTACTAAAGTTTTAATCATAAGTATAAAATCTCTATGTAAAAACCACATACTATAGCCTATCTGTACAAAGGCCAGGAAAAAAGGGTTATTTTTTCTTATAACAAAGTGCTACTGCAGAACTGACCGATTTGTTGTGGACATTTCTGAAGAAATAGAGATTGTTTGGCTCAGAGTATTTCCCTATTTTCCCTACAAAGACATTAAATTCTTCTCAGAAGATTACAAAGCAGTTAGTTTCATTCTGGTCAATTGAAAAAAAAATCTCTTGAGTTATGGCTATGCAACCAAACAAGTTGGCAAATTTTAAATTTTCTCTAAACTATTTCCCAGTTTTCTCAAAAGCTTCTCTCTAGATTTAGTCACCCAGAGCACCATCAGATAGTACCTGTGCTACAGCTCAAGCAGTTTAAGAGGCTGATGCTCTACCTGTGGCACCTGGCCATTGAACATTTCTAGTCCATTAAGCTTTAAACTCCTCTAATTTTCTGTCCTAAGGACCAGGAAAGAATGGCCAGGTATCTTCTCAGCAGAGAACCCAAACAACTTCTTAAATGACTCCAGCTGTAAAGCTGCACTTGTCTGTGACCCCCTCTAGGAAGCCTCATTTTAAATTTAATAATCCTATCCTCTTTTCCCTCCATCAGAGGCATGGGATAGAGAAAGGGGGGAAACCTCTAAGGCAAGAGTCCAAAAGAGGTGCTCAACTCCCACTTGAGCTTTAAACTACCTCTTCCTTTATATACTAAGGCTATGATGTCAGATTTTCCCAGACATCCTTTTGTCTTTCTTACACCTAGACACTTTCAAGTAGAAAGAAGAGAACTTGTCCATTTATTTGGGATTTCCAGGTATCAGGCAGTCTAGAGCAAGAGCAATATCTGACAGGCTGACATACCTGGAAGCCCAGAATGAGCATTCAGACCCACTGTGTGTTGCAGCCTGTGTCCCAGGCTCCAGGAAGACACATCAGAAGAAGAATGGAGCTGTCTGACACCTGGAACCTGCAGGACAGCCACTTTAACAATGCCTGGCACAGCCTGGACACGCAGGCACATGCTACTTGTGTGTGCACTCACACTGGGATGTGAAATACAGGAGCCATATATACAAAGCTAAAGTTGGGGAAGATAACGACACCAGGAATGTTGCCAAATATGCCTCCATACTTTCCACATCAAGCTCCAATATGCTGCATTATATCACGGTAAATATGACGTTCATTCTTATACCTTTAATTTTCCCATATAAAATACCAGGTATACCTATCTGTATGGCAAAGACAGTATTTCTGAATTGGTCCATAACGTTGCAGGTGCGTTAAAATCATATTTTGAGCATTTGTTCAGCAGCTGCTAAATGAAAAAGAAAGTTTTCTGTGGCTGGTGGAAATCGCTTTTGTTTCAGGGCCTCAGAGCTAAGGGTTGGTTTTTCACTGCCATCAGAAACTTCAGTAAGTGAGGCTAAAGTGGCCAAGATTTCTTTTGTCTTCAGAGAAATATCCTTGAAGAAAAAAAAAAAAATAAAGCAACCATCAATACAGGAATAGGCATTATAATGTTTTAACATACACTTATTAAAACAAAAAATCAATACAGATCGTAAGGAAAACAACGATAAATAAATTGTTAATATTAAATAAAGACTCCATTTATTTTAAGGCAAATGTGGAACTTGCAACAGCTCTTCTTGCAAGCCTGCTCTTGTGTAATGCTGAATGAAAGGAGCACAGCCACCCCACAGGCTCTTCTCTCTGGCCTAACTGAGCTCTTGACTGAATGACTCAGTTGTGAACTGTCTAAGAATCTGTTAGATAGGGGAGGAAGTGAAAGAAACCAACATTGTAAAAATCAGCCTTTGTAGCTGAGGAGCTACATCTCAGCAGGACTTTTTCAAAGGTATTGACAGTACTACTGACAAGGTACTGAGCAATAGCTTTGTAGAATAAAACTGGCAAAGCAATCTTACTGGAAGTCTTATAATCAATACAATTTCTGAAGTTTGTTCAGCAATGTGGTTACCCAGAAATAATATAAGCCATGTATGTGACCTTTAAAAAACTGTAGGAAATAAAAAATGCTCATTTCTAAAAAGGCAGAGAGTACAAGAGACCAGCTTATTCCCAGGGACAATCTTTCTCCTACTCCCCCTTCTGCCAAGATTTAGCAATAGAAGTAATTTAACTAGATTTAAAAATAATAAAACTGTATTAACCTTAATGACTTGGCTGTCTGATTTTTCTGGATCTTCTGCAGATTGAACAATTAGCTGCCCAATTTCTTTGTGAAGTTTTCCCATTGTCATTGCCTCTGAGTAAGGGAGATAAAAAAAAGCAGCACACACTTACATAAAACAACCATATCTAGAAATGCATATGAACAATGAGCCAGAAAAAGGAGCCCTCTTCATGACTGCCACCTGAAATCTAATGGCAAAGGCAGTAACCTGATGTGTCAGCAGCCATGCCAGCACAGGCAAATTGCCTCTGAAGTGGCCCTAAGCAGCTGACAAGCTACCTACAAGCTTTCCTTTCAAATAGTCCCCAGTCTCCAAGTATTTAATGCAATGCTTTTCTAGACCTTCATGGGACACCCCTGCATTCACCTGGATGTCTCTCCCATGTAACTGTTTAACACAGATGTTTTGAAATCTTAACTGTACATTTGCTGGAAGACAAAGCATGTCTTTCCAAATCTCAATAGAACTGAAAGACAGAAGCTTACATACTGGCTTCTCAGAACCTGAACACAAGAAGCATCAAGATTGCTTGATCTACAGCAAGGTTCAGCAACTGCTATCAACTCAGAAATAACTGACCTCTAAACCCAAAATATAAAAGGCAACCAACCTTTTACTACAGGGGAAATCGTGATCTCACTATCTGCCAAATTCACATACACATCGTAGAGGTCTGGTCTGCTGTTCACTTCAGAGTCTGTGAATCCAGCAATGTAACCTAGAGAGAACCATTTTGGCAAGGTTAGGATCTTCATAAACAAAACCAAAACAACACCAAGATACTGGGGAAATATTACAGTCCTAAAGACTTTTCTACGAGTATTTGACACAATACTCATTGGAGCCAGGAGGTTGCTCTCTTGGATTATCTGTCATTTAACAAACTTGTCCAGCAGAATGGTTCACTTCCCAGGAGCTTAAAAATCAGCTTCTAAAATTGCCTTGGACATGGTTTAGTTGCTTACTCTACATGCAATATAAAAAGGTTATCCATCTGAAATTTTAAAC